ACGTACACCATTTCTCTTTATGTTTGTTTGTTTATTGTTTAACGTCTCTAGAGAATTTTTCACTCATAATGGCGTCGCGCCACCACTTGCCGATGGAGGGCTGCAAATTTTGACATAAACTCGGCACTCAGGGCCATTGAACAGTGAGGATTCTTTTTCGTACTAGCACCTAGTGCGACACGAGACCTCGGTTTATACGTCTCATCCGAAGGACCGGTGTAGACGAATAATGACCCCCGTAGAAAATTGATTAGGGGGTCATCGAAAAATGACCTCCTAGCCGAAGAAAAATTAATTTTTTTAATAGAAAAAACCCTAGGGGTCAGTTTTCTACATGTACAACCTATAAGAAATTGACCCCCGTTGAAAAATGACCCCATCCTAAGAGTGATACAAATTTCAAAAGATATGATTGATGCCAAGGTTTGGGTCTCAACGGGTCATTCTCTTGCGTTTTTCTGATTAACACTTGACGAACGCGCAATTAAAATTTGCTTAACAACTGTACATTACATGTTTCTTTTTATTTGACCTATTTTGTTCTCAGCTTAAAATCAAAATTGCACAATAGATATGTGACAGTGGTTATTTGTTAAAGCTGTTATTTTGTCGTCCACAACGTAAGTCAGGACGATATATTGTTATCGCTAGACCTATTATTTTGTGTGAACATTTTCTCGGACGTGACTTGAATAAACTTAATGAAACGTCTCAGAATTGACATTAGCAAATCTAGATTTCATTTAATATTTTGATTTTTAAAACTCACCACAGTTGTCATGGGAAAAATAATTGCCAACGAATATTCTCACGGTTGGCTTTTAAGATCTTTGTGGAACTTCAAAAATGCATTTACATTTAAGATTTTTAAAACTGTTTCCATTGCCGTTGAAACGATTGGCCAAACGTTTCCTCACCATGAACGAGTGAACTAACGTGCAAGGGTACAAAACTGTCGTTACATGATCATTATGTATGGCTCATTGGGTATGTCTATTGTACGAGGCGCCGGATTGGTATTCATTGCCATTTAGTGATATCACCTATTCGAATAGGTGATATCACCTGTTTGAAAAGGTGATATCACTCATTCAAATTGAATTTGTGTTTCATAATATATGTTACATTTTTAAATTTAAATACTTTTCTTACCTATCATATTTGAAAAAAACAAATCATATATCATTTTAAACATCAAATCCTCTATTTTTATATCATGCGAAAAAATCAAGGAAATCATGTTATTAAAATGTTTATAAAATGCGATAAGAGCTTTTGATGTTGTGAAATTCAACCCCAAAAATAAAAATGACGCAATTAAGAAATTTCGCTAATTTTCATTAATGGATATTTCATCCAGTGTATATTATTTTGAATGGTAGTTGTACATAATAAATCTAGTGGATACATGCATTAAATTGGTGAAAAGACTTCTCTATATCTTTTTCTTGTGTTCGTCAATTTGTAGATTCAAAATGTAACATTTTATGGCACGGCGATTGCTTCAAAATTATTTTCTGCACGACCTAAAACAAAAATTACACGAGTAAGTAAAAACTTACACAAAGTGAGGAAAATATACACGAAGCTATTGAAATTTACACAAACAATAGAAAAACTGCACAATCAACAAAATATTTACACGATATAGTGAGGAAATTACACAAACGTAAAAACGAAAACTGCACGAGTGAGAATACAACATCGACATAATATGCTACGCATCCTCATTGCGCACATTTCATTAATATTCATTAGAGAACAGTTCAATGTGGTTTGGATGCTTGAAACATACTATAAAATTTTTACAAAAGGAGGAGTAACGTGTTGGTAATCTTTTTAAAAAAGATTCTTTTAAAATTCCGCTAGACTCTCAAGAATATATGTACAACGTATATTATACATGTAGATAAATTGACAGGCACACAAATTTAAACTTGTAGTATATGAACAACCCCGAATAAAAAACATTCTTCACAGAATACTTTTATAGATAACGTAAAAAAGGGGGATGCATATTACCATTTGTGTGTTTAACTGTTGGATTTTTTAAAGTATGTCATTCCTCTATATGGCAATTTCTTTTGAAAGTTTAAAACAATGACATATAGGCCTAAATAAAAATAAATAAAAACGTGATATAATACAGGAGAGTTAACAAAAAATCAAACTCTTTCTCCTCCATCACCTACTGTGTGTACTTTTGGTAATAATCAAGGATGTGCATGCGGTTCCCCACTGAGAACGGCTGATAACAAGCAGCACCATCACTTGACGATTTGCAGAGCAACAGATAAGAAGTGTATAGCCAGTGTTAAGAAGAAAAGACAAAAAAGGATAGGTAATATATTAATTTTAAATTAACAAAAGCCGCTGAGGGCTATTTAGCAATTCCTGCCGCTGAGGGCAGAAGTTAATGCATGAAATTTTAAGCCGCTGAGGGCTATACATTTTTCCTGTTGCTGAGGACAGAAGTTAAGGCATGAAACTTTAAGCCGCTGAGGGCTATACATTTTTCCTGTCGCTGAGGACAGAAGTTAATGCATGAAATTTTAAGCCGCTGAGGGCTATACATTTTTCCTGTCGCTGAGGACAGAAGTTAATGCATGAAATTTTAAGCCGCTGAGGGCTATACATTTTTCCTGTCGCTGAGGACAGAAGTTAATGCATGAAATTTTAAGCCGCTAAGGGCTATACATGAAATTTTAAGCCGCTGAGGGCTATATATTTTCCTGTCGCTGAGGGCAGAAATTAATGCATGAAATTTTAAGCCGCTGAGGGCTATACATTTTTCCTGTCGCTGAGGACAGAAGTTAGTGCATGAAACTTTAAGTCGCTGAGGGCTATACATTTTTCCTGCCGCTGAGGGCAGATGTTATTGCATGAAATTAAAAGCTGTTAAGGGCAAAAGAAATGGTTCCTTAAGGCTGTACATAATTATTCCTGCCGTTGATAGCAGAAGTAAAATGCAAGCTATAAATAACCACTAGGGTGTGTTGGAACGCATGAAAGTTTAGAAGCCGCTGAAGGCCGATGTTAATGTTTGAAATTAGAAAACCGCTGAAGATTGTTTATAACCTAATAATATATTTAGTACTAGTTTGTAAAGTCAAGTTGCTAAGGGCTGTTTAATGTAAATTAAAAAATTTTCCTGCCACTAAATGAGTTAAAAATTTCAAAGCCAATGAGGGCTGTCTATAGCTATTGAATGAAATCTTAAGTATAGGAGAGCTGTTAAGAGCAGAGATAAATATATTTTGTTAATAAATTATGGCTACCTGAGTAATGATGCGAAAAGCCGAATTATAATATAAAAATTCATAGGCACAACGTGTTTTAGTCAACATATAACACAGTATTGGTAGCTGTTTACAAATGTATATGCGTTCTACATGTAGTTTGTATAGTAAAAAAAAAAAAAAAAAAAAAAAAAAAAAAAAAAAAGAAAGTACGTTCAGGCTTTAAGATTTAACTGTCTAGTATATCAGGGTAAAAATTTAGTAATCATGGTAAAAAATTTTCTTATTACTAGATGCCCCCTCCGACCGTCTTGAAGCGGAGACACTCTCTGCGGGGGAAAGACTTGTTCCCCGTCATCAAAGAGATGAGAGGGCTGGCCACAGCCGGTGAAACAGTTTGCACGATATAAAGTAACCACACCGCTAGAGGAGATGGACAAGGATGAAGTGATTAGCGCCTTTAGAGAACTGACCGGAGAATCTGAAAAAGAGTGCATGCAGATGGCTGGTAAAGAGATGACAGAACAAAACCTTAAGACGCTTCTTCATCTAGTAATTCTGAGGGCGAATGAGTTCGGCCAACCAGCTGGCCAAGAATTAAGCACCGAGAACAATTAAGGTATACAGTTAACTTGTACTGATAATTAATGTAATTATTGCTAGCATCACCACCATGGGATATAATAATCAAATTACTCATTCTATGAAACTATTATTTAACTATATCAGCTTTAAAAAAAAAAAAAAAAAAAAAAAAAAAAAAAAAAAAATCTATTAACGGATGGTATTATAATGAATGATTTCCACACTTTGTGTATACAGGAGAGTGAGCCGGAAGAGCCACCTGCAAAGAAAGTAAAGCCGACCCCGAGTGTTGAGAAGAGGCTACAAGAACTTGAGAAAAGTCAGAGAAACGAAGACGACAAAGAAATAGAAAATGTAAAAGAAAAGGTGAGGAGTTTAGCACTTCAAAGTAACCCCAGTATCCCGCTTCTCCTTGTTACTTTGGATGAGCTCGCTAGAATAACTCGGCGAAAGGGCCATGATGAGGCCTCCGTGTTTGATGAGCTTTCCCGACAAGCTAATCTGAATCAAGATAAAATTGATGTTCCAAACTTTTGTTTGAGTGTTCTCGGGGGCAAGGCTTCTGATGTAGTAGGTAAAGCATTGTCAAAAGCTGTCAAAATAAAACCCGAAACGAAATCTACAGAAACGGAGAAGATAACTTCTACTCAAACTCAATCTCCACTGTTGAATCTATAAGGGCAACCAAACTACATGGGGTATATTCCACCACAATACAATTTTGTACCTGGTACACATGCAGTGGGAACCCAGTATGGGTATCGGCGATACCAGCGCGCTCCATACAGGCAATCAAGGACTGTCTGCCTTTTCTGCGGGGCAAATGATCATTACATTCGTGAATGTGCAAAAATGAAAGCTGCAAGAGGAAAAATGAATTCTCAATGACTTTTTTTTAACAATGTGAAAGAACTGATTTTAGTCAAGTTGAACCAGTTTCTCAGATTTGAATTGTACATTTATCGGTAATTTCTTTAGATATGATATGATATGAATTAGATTATTTGTCTTAAATTGACTTAAAAACGTGTAGTGTTTTTTCAATCTGAAAGAAAATAGAACTAATTAAATATTGGCATGGAATGAGTGTTATCAATGTTTGTTATCCCAATACCTGATATCCGGGGACACTGAAGCCCTAGTGAGTACTCTCACGTGGATTGATGGTTTGGGATCATGTTTTCCCATGTTATCCTAGTAGATGATGCTCAATCCGATATAAGATTATTAAGAATAATAAATATCTCGTGTTTGCAGGAATTTAACATTTACGTTCCTGACTGGGAGAAAAGTGACGAATTTAACCCAGAGGAAATTGTTTCACGTAAGAGAGAGCATCCTACTTGGACAACACTGGGGGAATACGGTTCCAAACCAACAATCCATGCAGATGGACAAGTATTTATTGACTCCTATAGCGACTTACTGCATTTGTCTGTAAGAAACCCTGATCAATTCGTTTCGGGTGAAATTCACAAACACAAAGATGAATGGTTGCGTATAACTCAAAGAAATTCAGACAACATGTCAAGTACAATTCAAAATTGGGTCAGTAATGGCATTGACGTTAGGTCCTTCCTGCGTCCGTTCAAGGGAAATTTCAAAGGGCAATCGTATGATAACAGACTTCCACCAAAACAGTATTTTCAAAATTCTAAGAATTGCAAAAACTTTGTTCATTTTATTAGAAAAGAAATAAGTGAGAGACTAGTCAATGGTTCGTTGAGATTATGGGGAAGAGTGGGAACAAGCTGTCTCCCTAAGATTATCATGCCTTTGACAGTGGAACCAAATAAGCCACGACTATGTCATGATGAGCGTTTTTTGAACCTGTGGACAAAGGATTTACCCTTTACGTTAGATACACTTAAAGACGCCCATAGACTTGTTGGAAAACATGCTTACATGGTGTGTTGCGATGAAAAATCGGGATACGATCATATTAAGCTAACCAGAGAATCAGAAAAATACTTTGGAATTCAGTTTGGGGGATGGGTCTTCACATACACGACTCTACCATTTGGCTGGAAAGCCTCTCCTTATATATATCAAATGATTGGGATGCAAATCACATCATACCTTCGAAAGAAGGGTCTTCATATGGTCCAATACATTGATGACAGGCTCGCAGTGTGTCAGAAATATGACAAAATTGATCAATCAGAACTTAAGGAACAAGCTTGTCCGTTACAAATGGTTAAACTTATCGTGACCGAATTAACAGCCTTAGGATACACACTGGCTATCAAAAAGTGTCAGCTAATTCCAACTACAGTAGTCCGATACTTAGGTTTTCTAGTTGACTCTTCTAAACAGGCCTACTTACTTCCATTGGATAAAAAAGAAGCATTCATCGGGATACGAGAGGGTATCTTGCAGTCAGATGAAGTTGATGTTCAAACACTTCAACGATTTGCCGGAAAATGTATATCCATGGCAATCGTTATACCAGGTGCCAAACTATATACAAGAGAGATAAATTTTGCAATATCACTGTGTATAAAGAATAGTAAACAAACAACCATTTCTCGTGAGCTGCGACAAGAAATCGAACATTGGAGGTTTTTAGACGACTGGGAAGGCTTCGCGCCATGGAGACAAGAAAAGCATCTTCAGATGTCACTGTCAACTGTCACTGTCTCTTTCCGCTACGGGATTTCCCTAATGTCAGGCCAAGACAAAGGTCTATCCTTTGGAGACTATTGGTCAAGCGAGGATGATCGACCGATTCATCTTAAAGAAGCATCAGCTGTCGACATTGCTCTTCAGTCCTTGGCACCAAAAATCAAGGATTACAGATTAGACATTCATGTTGACAACACTGCAGTCTTGCATGCTTGGGAAAATCAAAGGTCTCGTGACCGACAATTGGCTGACATCATGAAAAATATATTCCAGACAGTTTGGAAATTGAATATCGACTTAAGATTACACTACGTGCCATCAGCAGAAAATGTTGCAGACGCTCCCTCTAGGACTATTTCTTACACAGATTGCATGTTACATCCCAAAACATGGCAGAGTGTTGATGTTATGTTTGGACCACATACGGTGGACTTGATGGCGACGGATACGAATGTTATGATGTCCAACTCTGGAGTACCACTGAAACATTTTACGAAAAACCCAACTCCGCAATCAGCGGGTGTTAATGTATTTGCGCAAGATTTGTCAAGTGAGAAGCGTCCCTACGTGTTTCCTCCATTTCACCTAGTATTCCCTGTATTGTGTCTCCTTAAAGAACAAAAAGTAACACAGTGCACAATTATTGTGCCAATAATATACCCGCGACCAATTTGGTGGCCGCTTTTAAGTGCTCACTGTGTAAAATTTTTCACGTTAGGTAAACAAGGTGATAAATCTGTATTACTTATCCCATCAAAGAAAGGGTTTATTTCCGATAAAATGGGACTGAAATGGGAACTTAGAGCATGTATAGTGGATTTTAGCTGAAATTATAATAAAATTACGGACTCTTATCTTGTAGGTGGAAAATAATAAAGTTAACCTTCCTGCTATTGAAGGTTAGTCAATCTTGTTATTTTAAGAATACAAAATAGGTATTGAAGGTTGAGCCAGCTTGAAAAGAATGAAGACAATAAGAAAGCTACAAAGAAGATGAAAAGTTTGGAGAAAAGGGTACGACTTTTCTTATCCCAGTTACCACACTCTCCGGACTTAACAAGTATGACGCCACACGACGTATGCAGATTTATAGTATGGAGTGATAGATTCGGGAAGACGCAGGTACACGAAATCTCGTGTCCACACTTGGGTAAATTAGGTTTATTTGAATGCGCATGTCCTACTAGGCTCGCGGCAGGAACTATTCATAATATGGTGCAACAGATATCTGAAATCTTGTATACTCATGGAGGAACTCGATCATGGGATGTTCATACTAAGTCTGGAAATCCCTGCTTGTCCCCTGAAGTAAAAAACTATGTAAAACTTTGTAAAGAAGAACAGGCAAAATCCCATGTGTTACCTAAACAAGCAAAACCAATATTTTTAGGTAAGATAAAGAAATTGACATTGTTTATTGATAGAGAATTTGCTCGCCCTGACCTTTCTTTAAGGGAAAAGTTCGTCTTAATCAGAGATCAAGCGATATTCAAGATCCAGTTCTTTGCGGGAGATAGAATCAGCGATGTTTGCAATATTTTGTCGCAGGAAGTTAAAAAATTACAAGATAACTCAGGTTTTGTTTTCAACCACACCTACGGTAAGACGTTACGTGGAGATGGAAAGTCAAACACTTTTGTCGTTAAAAGATCTCAAGATAAGTCAATCTGTCCTGTTGCAGGGCTAGAGAATTACTATGCCTGGTCAAAACAAAATAAGGTGGATCTGAGTCTAGGATATCTCTTTAGGCCCGTATCAGAGTCAGGACGAGTACTGGATCAACAGCTGGGATATTCAGCGATTTATGAACAACTAAGGTATTACCTGGTATCTTTGGGTATCTATGAGGGAGAAACTCCACACAGTCTACGGGGCGGTTTTGCGGTAACCATGGCGATTTCAGGCACTGCGGCATCTCCCCAGGAACTCATGAAGCATGTCGGATGGTCGAGTGAACGATCGGCTTATTACTATAGCAGGACAAAAACCTTGACAGATGCTAGCACATTAGCAAGCAATATTGCCAACTTGTCGGCAGACACAGACGAAATTGAAGGATTTTATAGGACACATGGAGATTTTTCCTCCCTTAATCCAGCCTTTAACCCAACAAATTAAAGAATAAGATGTTGTCAACCTCACATGCTAATATTTTATATATACTAGTTATTCAATAAAATCATCATTTAAATAACCTTATTACTAAATTACTTTGTATATAATCAGGTCAGTACTGTTGTGTAACATCCTGTGTATTTAAATCTCATGACTTGGCATATAAAAGCATAAGGGAAAAAAAAATGTTTTGTTGTTATCTAATTTGAGTGAGTATTGGGTAGAGAAATTTAACTAGAAATTTAACTGGATGTACCCCTTTTACAATTATAATTAGAGCTATAGAACATACTCATATCTAAGTCTAAATGAAATTACCCGATACTCTAACAGAAGTGCGTGTTGTTTCAGATAGTTATTAGTGGGGATATGTTAGGTTCCCCACTGAGAACGGCTGATAACAAGCAGCACCATCACTTGACGATTTGCAGAGCAATATTACCAAGGTGTAAGCCAGAGTGATGTGTATTGGTGTATTAACCGCTAATATAACACGTGGTTTTTAAATAAGATATAACTTAAGCTCTATTTGGAGAGAAAAAAAAAAAATTAACAACACACACTTCCCTAGTCTAAATGAAATTACCCGATACTCTAACAGAAGTGCGTGTTGTTTCAGATAGTTATTAGTGGGGATATGTTAGTGACCTTTTCATACAGAGATCCTTCCCTGCTGGTTCTGGAACGAAAGACACGTACGCTAATCGATTTATAGCTATTTGACACACCAATAATACCTTTTGATTAAAGATTATATTACTAGCAATTCAAAAAAGCAATGTTGCGATCATCTGGGTTGTGGAATTTGGCCGAAAACGTTTTGGAAGTCAACAGTAAAGAAAATCGAGCAAATATTAATTGTGCAACTTAAATTTTAATATTGAAACGCATATCTCACTTTTTGGTATCTGTATGTAACAAAGTACATGTAGTACATGTAGTCTTAACTTTTGAGCAACGTGTGGTGATTTCATAAAAACTCCATGAAAATGTAGAAAAAATATACAGTCCTTTTACTTATGTAAATTAAAGTTTAATTTATGTTGTTTTTAATGTATCGGCGGTAGTCTATTTTGTAGTTAAAATGCATATAAAGGAGTTAAGAAAATTTAAAATTATAAAATACAGGCAAGTAGTATCGTTTTTGAAAGCGGGGGAGGGGGGGGGGGTCAGATTTTTTTTTTTTTTTTTGACAACCTACCTGAAAAAACAAAACAAGTATTTTAGAAACACATTATAATACCAAATTACTTTCATTTAAACTATCCTACAACAAAGGGAGGGGGCAACCAGCTTTTCAGTGGAAATTTACAATAGAAGTAGGTTATGATTGGAAAAAAAAGGGGGGCAGACCCCTCCTGATTCTACGTGCCTGAAATATTTTCTAAGAATTTAAGGGTACATAAAATAGTCTATCGAAATCAGGATTGCAATTCAACTGAACTGTAACGATATTGTAAGACTAAATTCAAGAAGACATACAAGATGAACTTAATTAGCTGGGACTTGGCTACACATGCACATTTATTTTCAATGCAGATTTTGACAATAATAAACACACGGTAATAAAACAAAGATTTCTTGAGGTTTATATTCATCATATGTTTTCTTATATTTATTCGTAGTCATGCTCGAAGTAAAACAAGACCTGGTTGATGCCATTGATACACATGTAAAATATTGCTATAAAGCAAACTTTTTAATTATTTGTACATGTATACGTACAAAATACAAATTGCATAGATTAGGCTTTTTAACTCATAATCTGATTTTTCAAAAACGTTAGATATGCACATGAATAGTCTTTCAAAAAGTGAATCTTGTATCAAATATGCTCCTTGAATGTTATTGAAGATTATTTTCATTTTATAATTATACAGTCTTGTTCTTTTTATAAGGACTATAGCTTTGGGTAAAAAAGTGTTAGCCTATATTACAAAAACTTAGTGTTCGGAAAATAATTAAAATTTTATGCATACGAATTCGAAATGTAAAGAGAAATTGTTGTCTTGGAAAATATTTGTCAAACCTCGAGCTCCATAAAGAACATGATTTTGATTTTATTTGCATTATTTAAGAGTGATACAACACATTCTTTGTTCTTTCTATTTACACATTCTTTGTTCTTTCTATTTATTATAATATCCATTCCCATTTTCTTATTTGTAACATTGTACGCAGATGTATTTAGTAATTCACTATGTTTTAAAATTCCTGATGTGTCATTATGGTCCAACGATTTGAAACTTTAATAAATACATAGATTCAGATGTTGCTACTCTATCAATCCACGAACCAGATCCGCCACTGATGATATGTTTTACCGGTGCCAGGATCATTTGAGTAGAGTTTTGTTATTTCATTTGGACAAATTTTAAGTAACAAAACACAAAACTGCATGTACTAAAGCACATAGAGTATATATATTTTCCCTTTATCTGGTCCTATTTATTAAAAGTGAAAACATTTATCAAGTAATCGCCATTACGAATGAGGGTAACGCTTATACCCTTAGGAATGTCTTGTTTTTTATTGAGTAGTTTATGACTGAAAATATGCGATATCATGGAAGGAATTCATAACAATGTAGGCTACAGATGTCCAACCAAAATTGATATTCTCATATTTTATAAGTAAAGATACATGTATAATTAGAAATAAAATATTTTTTATGTTTGACTTTAAAAACATACTGTGTATATCTAAGGTCAGGTAATTCCCACTTTTTAATCCTTTTGAAAATAAAAAATATATCCAGCCAACTGAATAATTTCCTATATTCCTAAATGAAAAAAATCTGCCCAAATGAATTCATAATTAGTACAAATGAGAAGTACCAAAATAAATTCTACAATTTAATAATTATAATCAGCAATAATTCTGCCATCATTTTCATGAAGAATCCACGTTATTAATTGTTTTATTACGCATGTGTTAATTTTATTTTATACAAGTACTTTCCGTTAAAGTTGTATCTATAAGTTAGAGAATTTTAAAAGACAATAGAGCGTATTACTTTTAGTTCGGAGTCGAGTGCATCATATGCAATGGTACTTTTTTTCCCCGCATTATAACACAAACATGCAATTCTTTTCTTGTCACAATTTATGTCCGGCATCATATAATACCTCCCTATTTTGACTAGGATCTCGGTCAATATAAGAAAAATATAATATCCCCCACAACTTTTAAATTTTTTCACACAGTTCACGAGAAAACATTTCATTCGTTCGATTGGCATTAGCTAGAAATCGGATCGAGTTTTAGCAAAGAAATAAAGAAGCAAACAAACATGCATATCATCGTCAACGCCATTTTCTCTCGATTACACCCAGCATTCAGGAAGAGATAAAGAGTACAGAAAACCAAGAACACAATGAATATTCTATGTGCATAATAATGATATGCGCAGCTGTATGCGCAGTAAAATTGTTTGTGTAATTTTAAGTTTCCTCTGCTCGTGCAGTTTTTGATTTTACGTTTGTGCATTTTATACCCCTTAATCGTGTAAAAAATTTCGGATTCGTGTATTTTTCGTTATGTTTGTGTTAAAATCTTTCAAACTATGTGCAATTTTTACCGATACGTGCATTTTTATTTTACTCGTGTATATTTTCCATCAAGCTCGTGTATAAAATCGTGATCGTTGTGCAGAAAATAATTTTGAAGCAATCGGCGTGCCATAACATTTTATATTATGAAACATACTGTACAAAAACGCCCCTCATACTATTGCTTGCAATAGCATACATTTTAGTCATCATCCTTTTTATGATTTTTCATATTTCGATATTTTACTGATTATAGACGTTTATGGCCAATTAAGAAACGGGATGACTTCAGCAGTCTCTAAAACATCGATTAATTCTTATATAAATTGTAAGACACTTTTGCTATATGTCCGAAAATTTCATGTATGTACACTGTTTAAATCATTGCCTTAAAAAACGCATTCGGACGTAACTTAATTAACCGGTAGGTAAACATT